GGCTCCTGTAGCATTCTTGTCATGGATGCCTGGGTTCCAGTCTATGCAGACGAGGATCCTATTTAATGAAGCATTCAGCAGGGGGCTTCGAATATTCCAGATTGTTACAGGAAAGAAGTCTAAAGTCGAGGTCTGATATGAGGTACAGTGAAAGGTTTTTATTTCTCAATCTTTGTGGTGATTACCTTGTTATGTTAATATATGCATATTGAGTTGCTTTGTTTTTCCCGCTCTCTCAATTGGCTTCACCTTGAACACAAAATCTGAATGGACCTGCTTGATTTACCAAATAAAGTTAAAGACCCAAAATCCGGATGACTTGAAACCCAAAAAAATGTAAAACCTGAATAACTTGATAGACACCATCCCAAAATTATCTTAGGCCTGAAGTCAACTGAAAGCCAGAAAAAACCTGAAAGTGAAAGAACCCATAACCCTAAGGAACTAAAATATAACCATGACTGACTTGACCTGATCGGACCTTCCTGATTTTCGTTTCTAGTCGGTAACTTACTAATACATATGGGTCAAATCAGGGTTACTTTGGGTAGATTTAAAGATTCCTTGATACCATACCATATGTCAAATCAGGGTTACTTTGGGTAGATTTAAAGATTCCTCGATACCATACCTAAGAATGGAGACCAAAAGAAAATCTAAAAGACACCTAGGATCTTCTAAGCATTACAATTAAGTTGGGGGATGGGTGTGATACCTTTCATGTACATAGGTATCACACTTTGTACATGATGCATTATGGAACCAAGATACGGAAATCATTCTGAATAATTAAGGAATCCTAATAGAAAAAGTAATATTTATTATTATTAATTCTAATACTACTAAAGACCTAATCTATCTCAAAAAAAAAAAACTACTAAAGACCTAATCTTAACCATACTATTGTGATAAATTGTAGATTAGCGAGAAATACAATTTCTAAGCTATTTAGAAATTCTAAGATAAATCCATTCTGCATCAATTTCGAGAAAACTCAGCCTCGAGCTTTGAAGTGTGGAAGTATCCTTGAGCTTTGTTTTAGCATTGAGCTTCTGAATATTTGTGTATAAGATCTCATATGTGTGCAGGTGGTCTCTAAAAAACTAACAGTTTTTGTAAAATTACAAAAAAACTGAACTATGCATATGATTTGTAACAAACAAAGTGCAGGATGTAAAAACTAACAGTTTTTGTAAAATAACAAAAAACTAAATTATGCATATGATTTGTAACAAACAAAGTGCAGGATGTAAATTGAAGTAAATTCAAATCAAATAAACTGTAATCTTTTTTAGTTTTTTAAAGAAAAAACAGGACCAAATAGGACAAGATGAGGCTGAAGTGGTCTGGTTCCATCCCCTAGTTCATCCACTAGTTCTATCCATAATTTTTGAGAAACTTGGAAAATGCTGGGTTCTAGTCTGAGATTGTTGCATTCTACTTTAGACTGATGAGCACCCTAGTAGTTACTATGTCGTTAGCAGCTTTGTTTTCTTTTTGCATCTCTAGATTCCTTTCTTGTAACATCAGGGGCGGAAGTGAAGGCCGCGTTCAACCTCAATAATGATCAGTTTGTCTAAAGCAGTTTTTCTTTTCCTGGACTTCACATGCCGCATGTTTTTCTTTTTCTGTGTCAACAATATTCTAAATTGGATTAAGCCTTTCCCAAGGAATGCTTCAAATACTCGGGTCACCTGCACCGAGTATAGTTTAATCCCCATACAGGCGGAAGTCCTGACAAAAATAATATCTAAAAAGATGCCAGCCCCTACCTCCCCTTCTTTCTGAATAAAAAGGGTATCAAAGAGACTGTGTATATTTATGCTATTTGTACCAATTTTATTTCTATTGTTTGCATAAGAAGTTAAGCATGCAGCAAACTAGACCGTTCTTGTTGACTTGCATCTTGATTCGAACCTTATCATCAGTACTGATTTTGCATAGACCACTGTCCAAATTTTTAATGATATGGTGCTTGCAGCTTTGCAGCTTGCTTGAAGTGTAGAAAAAATTTTACGGGGTGGATAGATTTCTTCTGCGATCTTTGGAGAATTTTTCTTGCTTGCAAGAGGAGATAGCAGGTGGCTCTATGGATTTAATCTGGAGTTGAAGATGACATTCTCTTTTGTTTTCCATCGCCTGCTTTGGTTTCCTTTGTATGTTGTTGTAATTTGTTAAATTCGCGGGTCTTCCCATTCATATGCATTTCAGGAACTCTGGTTTCTCGCGCTTTCGACTTCTCCACGTATTTAAAGGTACAGCTTTTCCAGTAGCCTCTACACTAATTATATAGCTTAGCAGCACGATAGTTTGTGATTATTTATTATTCTTTTGTCAGAATGTAGCAATTTTGTTTATCCACGCTTCTCTTTCTCATTTTTAACCACTTGAGCTTTTGCTTTGAGAAAGGTGGTGGTATGAGAATTTGTCTTCTGATATATATATATAGGGATGTGCAGGCAGCACCCACCTAGTTTGAAATTTGTTGTTGTGTTTATGCATCTGTTTAGGTATGTCTCAGACGCATATACGTACACACACATACAAACAAGAAGGTACACGTGCATGTGTTTATATCTATACACATGCATGTGTTTATATCTATACACATGTATAAATACACACACATCTACTTGTATTACTTAAAATATGTTTATGTTCCTGTTGATGGGATATTTTCCTCATTCCTCTTTAGAAATTATTATGTGAATTTTTTTTTTCTAAAAATGTATATTATTCAATGGATACAATAAGTATAAAATTTAAATAAATTTTGTAAATTTTTATAATGGTTCTTATTTTCCCATCAAAATGGTAAACCCTTGTCTTTCAACAATTAAATTTTATCAGAACCTCTAAAAAAAATTTATTCTTTCAAACAAAATTTGTGCTGTTTAAGTTGAATCTCTCATACCCACATATTTGGAACATCTTTTCTATTCAAAACATGGGTTTATGTTGTTCTGATTTTAAATTAACTTCCCAAACATCGACACGACGAGTTCTTTATCCCCCTACGATTACATTTAACTAATAGAATTTAGTCATTATATAATGTTTTTTCGCACGGTTTGCCGAGACAAAATTTAATCTAGTTGGCAAATCTCAGAAAATTGTTACGAACTTACTTTCAAGTAACGAAATTTAGTTATTGTATAATATTTTTTTATTCGATTTGCCAAGATAATAAAGTTGAATTGCCACGACGAGTTCTTTATCTCATTATGATTGCTTTTAACTAACGAAATTTAGTTATTATATAATAATTTTTTATTCGATTTGTTGAGATAATAAAGTTGAATTGCTATAACTGAGTTACTTATTTCGTTATGATTATAACTAACGAAATTTAGTTATTATAGAATATTTTTTTAGTTAGCTTTATTCCGTTATGATTATTTTTAGTTATTACAATTTAATCATAGTATAATATTTTTTCGCTGGAGATGAAATTTAATTTAGTTGGCGAATCTCAGAATTTGCTACGGTGAATTCTTTACTATGTTATGATAACTTTCAAAGTAACAGAATTTAACATTCATATAATGTGCTTTCGTCTAGATACAATTTTACAAATTGTTAGAGATAAAATTCAATCTGGTCAAGTAAATTACGAAAACTATTTGTGGTTCTTCTTGATTTGAGCTGTGTGGCAGAGTGATGAAAAGGGTGTCAGCTCAGACATTAAATTCCATGTTTATTATCCATTTGAGTCATTTGTCAGGGCAGAGCTTTTCGCTTTCCTGAATTTAAATTCAATGACTACTTCCAAACAGTATATATATATATATATATAATTTGCTTTTGCCGACATCTTTACAATCAATTTACTCATTTATTTATTTGATTGTGAAATTTTATATTTGAAAAGAAATATCCATATAACTTAAGTGTACTTTTTAATTAAATTTCATAAAATACAATTTATCATAATTTTTTAAAAGTTACATTCTAATTAATCAATTCTAAAAGTTATATGTTTATAAGTATGAAAATGTAATGCAGATGCCACCATCTTCGATAATGAAGGGGAGGAGAGGTTTGGTGCTGCTGGCCAGGATTCAGCTAGTTGGGTAATGTTTGTTCTGTCGGAAAGAATCTTAAGCTGTAAATCTCTCAAGTTGGCAGAATTATTGGAGTGGCGTAGCACTTTGAACTATGTGACATCTCACATACATGAATTAGGAATTATAAAGAAACTGACGACTCAAAATTTAGTTTTATTTTCGAGAACCGCAAAGGTGTCTCGTAATTTTTTAAATTTTCACGTTTAGCAGAGTCTTTCATTAAATATTATAGTTTTATTTTATTTTTGAGTTTACTAATTTTTTTTTTTATAAAAAAACATACCCACTATTAATTTAAATAATATTTAACAAGAGAGAGAAAAATTCTATTAAAAAAAAAATAATAACAACACTTCTAATAATTTAGTGATCATTAAATTTTATATTATAATTATATCCTAATGTGGAAATACTTTATAATTAAATGAGTCAACCGGAGTATTAAAATCTTTTTCTCTACGACTTTGAAATTAACCGGAAGATCAAGTTCCCATCCTCTCTTTCTAACTGACATCTGGCAGTTTTTGAATTATTTTATAATTCTATTTGAAGTAACCGATCCTCGTTCTCATTCTTACCAGAAAAACAAACATAAACGTATAGCTTCATAGCTTCGCTCTCTCTGTTCGTCTCTGTTGGATTTCAACCAAGAAAACGAGAAGAACAGGAAGGGGATTTCAACGGAAAACATGGAGAAGCCTTTTCTCAGAGGCGAGAGTAGTGGTGGTGGCAGAGGGAGGGATTGGATGTATCGCCGTTCTGATGCGATCACTTATGGCTCTCCTTACCAGAAAGCAGCTGCGCTCGTCGATTTGGTCAGTTGTTGCTTCTTCTTTATTTCTTCATTGTTTTTTTTACTGATGCGGTTTTGCTTTACCTAGCTGCATTTCTCCGTTTAACGAGTCACTGATACTGCTTTAGATTCTGAAATTCTGGATTCAACTTTCCTTCTTGATAGCAATGTGCTTTTATGAGAGCGTGATTTCCTCAGTGTCTCTGATTTTCTGCTTTGTTATCCTTATAACATATTGGAGACTCGTGTTTTTCTTTATTATTGTGAACAACTTCTCTATTTGTGGTTTTTGGTACGAGATCTTCAGGCTGAAGATGGAGTTGGCCTACCTGAGCAAGTTCTCTACCAATCAAACTTCGGAAGTGCTGCCAAGTATTACTTTCTCTTCACGCGATTTGACTTGTTATGGTCTCTCAATTATTTCGCATTGATAGTCTTGAACTTCTTTGAGGTTAGTGGTGTGCTCCTTGTATTTGTCTTTGGTACGCCTGTTTGTGGCATTTTCGCCGAACAAATAGGTGGAGTGTAAATATTTTATGTAATTGTTGGTGCTTGTTGCAGAAACCTTTGTGGTGCGAGAAGGATCCGGCCAAGTCTTGCAATGACAGAGAGTATTTTTTTCTCGGTCAATTGCCTTACTTGACTGGTGCCGAAACTTTTATCTATGAGGTAAGAGGAAAGATATTCTGATAACATGGTGGTGATGCGACATTTTCTTGCTAACTTTCCTTTCAATCAACTTATTTTTACCTTTTTTTTTCTACTGAGCTGGGTTCAGCTCTAATTACGCTAATTATTATCAACAGTCTGGGTGAGGGGAGCCAGAGGCTTTGCAATAAAAATTAGGCGCATCTTTTTGTAGTTGCAAATTAGATGCATATAATTCTAAATGTTTGCCCATATAAATTTATGATGCCAACTATTTTTGACTTGATTTCTAGAATATTTTAAAATTTTGGAGCAAACCAGAAGAGTGACATGTACTAAGTCTAATGAATGCGTGATTAAGTGTTCTGCAAATTGCAAATCTCTTTACTTTCTTATGCAGGTTGTGACACTCATTTTACTTGCAATACATACCTTCTTCCCAATAACTTATGAAGGGTCTCGTATCTTCTGGAAAAGTCTGCTAAATCAATTAAAGGTAAATTGCAGATTCCTCCGTATAGTTATTTCTGACTTCTTTGTTTCTCTTATTGAATCTGCTCTATTTCAGAGCTATAAATCTTGCAAATAGAAATACGAACAGGATAAGTAAAGTTCTATTAACAAGAAAAGAAAAATGAGATAGGGCTAAAAACCAAATAAGAACTATGCAAATTCTTGTCGAAAATGATATTATCTGTATTGTTCGCTGAAGTGCATTTGTGTTATAAGTACTTTTTGTCTTTCAATTATTAAAAAAATGAAAGATTATGTGCAGCATTGGTAATTGCAACGCATAAGAAGTAAAATCAGTCTTGGATCCTCTTTGTTCACTAAATATTATGTCCATTACGAAACACAATTGGTAACTACTCATCCCTTTGTCACGTGAACTAGAATTTACTATTCAAGAATGGACAATTAATAAAAAATTCTCATGGTACTGGTTGCATATTATTTTCTTTAGTTATAACTAAGGTATCATGACCAACCAAATTACTGCACGACTAATTTGTTGTTTTGCAAATTACAGCTTTATGAGTTAATTACCTTTTTCTACATTTACCTTTGTATTCTTTTATTTCCACAAATGGGATTATAACACACAAGTTTTCTATGCCTTACTTTACGATTTAGCATGCACCCTCTTCCCCAATTCTATAGTATGTAACTGTTATTGCATATGGCCTAATGAAACTTCTATTCTTCCAAATTTTCAGGTCATCTGTCTGCTAATTTTGCTTGCTGATATAGTGGTCAATGCTCTCTATATATTTCCAGTGGCCTTCAATTTTCTTCCATTTAGGCTGGCACCATATATAAGAGTTGTCATTTTCATCCTAAATATAAGGTATTCGTGTGTTTTTTTTCTTATTTAATGCAAGTCATGTGTCTTTTGTCTATGCATTTGTGTGTTACATGGAATTAAGACTTGTTAAAAATAGGCATGTTTCACATGAATCTAGTTAACTGTGCTCAAAAGGAAAAAATATAATAATGAATTGAAAGTTAATTTTCAGGGTCCTCTATGAGATTGGATGTTAAGAGTGGTCAGTAGCAGAATAATAGAAATATTAGTTAGAGATTGGACATTTAGTTTTACCCTTTAACTACCTCATTTGTGTGACATGATATATTCTTTGATGCATCAATCACTTTGGCATTTTGCCTTGATTTCTTTGATCGACTGATTGATTTGGAACTGACTACACAGCGGACTTCTTTGTGCTTTTGGTTGTGGTTATTAAAGATTTGTATTTTTCATCTTTGCTCGTTTGGAGAATAAGTTGTTACTGGGGAAACTGATAGCAGTTAACTGGGTAATAACCAGGAGCAATTATAAGGTGCTCTAAAAGCACAAATGATAAACCTTGTAAATGTGATCAGTACACTTTAGATTTTCTTTCTGTAATTTTAACATGAATTTAAAATTAATCAATCACATATATGAGGTTTGCCAACTGCTCTGTGATCCTAAAGTATCTTAAATTTACTTGATTAATAAAAGCGAGGGGTGATTATAGCACAATAGTAATTAAAGAAAAAGGTAGTGGAAGAGCAAAAGAAAAATCTGACTTGCAACATAGGAAATGGTGATCTACAATCATAGGGATCAGAAACACAACCATCACCACAAATTGTTTATGCTCTCTAGCATGAAGGAATCTTTGTAAACAATTTAAAGCACTATTACAATATCACCCGTATATTTAGAAGATACCTGAACATCCATTTGTATCTACCATACTAAGTACGAAAAACAACTACCAAAATTGGACCTCCAATTGAAGACGTAGAAGCTGATTAAAATATAATAACCATACACTAGTAATTTAGAAGGCATTCCTAGGCCTGAATGAGTTCATCTTCCCATATAAGCCTAATGGTCCTGCATCAAAGAGCTACTGCAGTGTGGAAAAGTGAGGATGACTTCTTGGAATGGGTTCATGGAGGAAAGTAATGCATTTTAAGGATGTGCAAGTTTCTTAATCCATTGTGTCTCATTTTGTAAGTTATTGTTGAAAAGCAATTCCTAATAATTTTGGTTTTTATTGCAATATAGCACTGGTTGAGAAACTTTTCTCTTGAAGATTGAATCAGCACCAAACATCTAAATATTACAGTACTTACCATTGTGATGGATAGATATGCCAGAAACTCTTTGTGTGAGCATGTGCTTGTGTTTTGTCTGTTAAGAAATTTCAAATTGATTAGTTTGCATTTTTCTTCTATTTTCCTTTGATTTAGGGAATTGCGAGCCAGCATCCTGATTCTGGCTGGAATGCTGGGGACGTACTTAAATGTCTTGGTTTGTTACTTACCTTAAATTTTGTACCTTTATCATTAATGAACTCCAAGTTTTGCTTTCTTCCTTTTCTTAAATTTGACATATCACTATCAGATTTTGTACTGCATATTCTCTTTTTCTCATAATAATTAAGAGCCTAATAACACCTTTTAAGAAGGCAGCAGTAAGTGTCAGTCTCCTTTTTTCAGTAGAAAAGAAGCATTATAACAAGGTGCCACCCACGTACACATGCAAGCAACAATATAAAAGATTGTCCAAAAAATTTATTATTTTTTAATGAATAAAGAAATACCATTGGATAGAAGAGAAAAAGAAATAAATGATCAGCCAAGATATCTAAAAGCTCTGCAAGATCTTCTTGATTATGAAGATGATTGAAATTTGAACAAAATACACAAGGTGGAAGTAGGTTCCTTTGATCCTAGAAAAGTTAGTTACTAATTCAAAAAAAGTGAGGAATGAGGAAACCGGCTTCTTCTTGTTCTTGTTAGCATGGATAACTCCACAAGGTGGTAATTCAGATGTAATGGGTGCTCACAACCTAATGAGTACCTAAAAAACAAATCACTTAGTCTTATAACCTCCTCATGACACCGTAAAAGAAAATGGTTGGGGGATTCATCGTCACAAAGGCATAAAAGGAACTAGTTCAGATATTTCGAGATTAATCTTCAATTTTTGACCCTGCCTGGAAACAAAGGAGAAGCTGTCTAATATATAGAAAAAGCCTCAAAAACAATTTTCAAAATAACAAAAAGTAGTCTGGAAATAAGAGGGAAACAGTTTGGGGATTCTCCTCATAATAATAAATGTTAATTTCTTACTCAATGTAGTTAAAGTACTTATCCCCCTGCTTTATACATATTGATTCAGTTTAAACATGTGATTAGCTAGAGGGACAAAGGCAAGGTAGGAAACAAGCATTGATCATTATTTCATTTTTCAATTTGGACTAAGAATTTTAAACAAATACGGACTACTTTTAAGACGGGGAAGGAGGGGCATATGATGAGTAAGATATTTGGACAATATAGAGCATTATCCCTCGTTGAAGTGAATTTCTGCTTCCAGTTGCATAATTTTATCCTTTTATGTGCTTATTCTTGTGCCCATGTCTTCAACTGCAGGCTTTATGGCTTTTATTCCTTCTCTTTGCAAGTTGGGTGGCCTATGTCATGTTTGAGGATACCCAAGAGGGAAAAACTGTTTTTACTTCATATGGTGCCACATTATATCAAATGTTTGTTTTATTTACCACATCCAACAACCCAGATGTCTGGATTCCTGCCTACAAGTAAGCCGGATTCTAAATAATTAATTTTGATTCAGTTGTCTGAAGTTTCTAGTTACCCAATGCTAAATTGAGTGGTGTCTTATTAGGGAAACCTT